ACGATTTAAAGTTTTTGTCACCACGCCGTATACATGAAAATGATGGTAGTTGATCTTTATAAGGGTTTGTTTAAACAAAGTTATGTGGGGCCTCGAGTCGCTAGTGTCGCTCGCAGTGGGTAGACTTGAAGAGCTACTAATTGCAAGTTCGATTAGTGATAGAATTACTGCGTGAGGTATTTTTCTAAGTACGCCTGAGTCTAACATAAGCGCAAGTATCTGCTGTCTGTAATAATAGCACCCAGGTGCGGGCTGAGTCAACGCTCTATGTTCCCATTTCCTATGCCGAACAGTCTCATCCTCATCCCATGCAAAGCAAAATCCCATTTGCATAATAGATCAACAGACTAAAACTCGTCAAGATACTATGGCTGCTCTCACCATGAACTTGTCTAGGGGTATGCTCGTTGCTTTTTTATACACAGGTTGAGCGGACGAGGAGCGGACGAGTAGCGGAGCGCACGTTTGATTTACACACGGCCTTCCCGTGGACATTTGACATGAGCGATGCAGAAGTTTGCAGAATTTTTCCGGTTCATATCGTGGGAAGTTGCGGCAATAGGACGTAATGCTAAATATTAAAAAGATTGCAGTATCATAGCTTGCTAATCCCATGTATCAAAGGATCAAAGATCTCTGAATCAATCTTCTCTTCTTCAAATTTCAGGTTATTTTTGTCCCAAAACTGCACCCAAGAAGTGTTTAGCTAATATGGTCGTCTTATCAATACAGCTACATATCCGGTGTGTGCACCTAAGAAATTTGTTATCTATGATTAAAAGCTACATCATATTGCAAAACTCTCGGCTTTTTGACTTACTAGATTAGCATATGCTATCTAAAATAAGATTCCATAAACAAGCAGCTTGACCCTGTTGCCCGTCTGTAAGTGAGTACATTTGTCGAGGGATCTGGTAACTGATTTTTTTTTACGGCACTTGGCGAGTTAAAGAATGTCAAAGTCACCGATATATGCAGCACACAAACACATGTCACGATTTGTTGTGTGCCGTTTCCGATTAGAGTCTCAATGTCTAGCATGTCGATAAGGCACACAGTTAAATCTCATACATCAATCATACTGAGGACTGTCAGTTAAGAAGCTAAGGGCTTAGGAACCTGACTGAAACTCTTCAGATTTGATGAAGTCGAGTCGTTGCTTAGATTCAAGTCAACCAAATTCACAAGTAACAATTTTATGTCAAAGAAAAGATAACTATATTGAAATTAACAAGGCGTGGGACTACTGCGGTAGACCTGAATTTTCATCATAACGAATAACCCTTAAAAAGGAAACGATTTGCGAAGAGCATGGAAGAATCTGTCGTCACGGATTGGGGGGTCAAAGTTGTGCGAAACCTTGTGGTTTAAGGAGTGGCGGACGTGTTCGTCCATGCAGTCCCACATGATCAAGTCCTGGAACTCTCCAGATTTTTCTGTAGCAGTCAAATAGTGCTGAGTTACACCCAACCAAGTGTATTTCAGTTTGAAATGGTCGCCATGCATATATTTGGAGGGAGGTGGAGCGTATGTTTTGTAGCCAAACGTGGATTCAACAGTCACAGCAAGCAATGTCGGGTTTTCCGTATCAGGTCCGAACCATAAGATGGCGTGTTCCCATCCATGACGGTGTCCAATATAGAAAGGTGCCGTCATGAAATCTCGTGGGAAATACCATGAATACATAATGGCCAAATGACCTCTGAATGCAAAAGCGCGACCATACACTTGAGATCCCTGTGGCGAACCCATACAATCGGTAAACAAGTGAGAAACCCCAAGGCCGTTGCTAATATAGCCATGTTCGTCAACGGCGGGATAAGGGTGGCAACCGCTGGAAATGAAGAGCATCGGCTGGAAATGGAGGGCGATTGAATTAATGAGAGAATTGCTTTCTACACCGGGGATCGGCTTGATTTCGTCGTATTGCAACTTGTGGATCGTAGATCGTTGTTCATCGTCTGCATGTGCCACATTTATACAGGCAACCAGAAACAACACCACTGATAGCATACTGGTGTGAGGTAGTAAGAAAAATTGAAAATGAAAGCTTATGAGCTCCATGGAGCTCCAGGTTAGGGGATACAGATGGATGAAATCCAATACTGATCGGACCAGATTCATCAATACCGGGTGATTTGCAAGAAAATCTCGTCTCAGGTTCGATTGCATAAAAACGCATGACTCAGAACTGGCATTCGAGATACAGAGGAAGTACCTTGTGAGCTAACAACAAGAACCAGTTATAGAATAATTTTGGTACCTATAAATGAAATCTAATAATTCTGACGACAACACCTCAATTCCGGCTCCCATTAAAGTAACGTCAACATGAAAGTCGAAAAAATAATTCTTAGTTTAAAAATCTATAAAAAACTAGCAAGCACGGTAAGCGACGACATAATGTATTTTATATTTCAGTCTCACCTGCGATACATCCTTTAGTACGTGTCACAAGTGCTCGTGGCTAGTGCGTATATATTACTTTAGTCCCCGAAATTCAACCAGCAGAATTAGTTTCTGCGATGGCTGGCTTTTAATATTCAATATAGTAGTAATCTGAACCTGCTGAGTCCGTACAACCCTCCTTGATAGGTTATAACTGCGATCAAAATGACAACTTTGGTACTCATATCTTGTACATTGCATTTTCATCACTATTGTCCCTGTGCAACGGGAATGCCGTGCATCTACTTTGCAGAAACTTCGACTTGATAGTCCGCATTGATAAACGCACACAGGTTGGGTTAGTAGGCTTCGACTACGAGTGAGATGCTGTTTTCTTGTGATCACTTTGAATACGATATCATCAAATTGAGATAGCTTCCCGCAATCTTTAGTGTTTTGTAAATATTCATCCATTAATTGAATGATTATGGTAGAACTCCAAACAGATGGGATCCGCGTCGCACATGGCTGCTGGCCGCTCGTCAGAAAATAATGACGACTTCATTACGGGTAGCCTTATATAAGTGATACTTGCCTTGGCAGTATAAATTATTAATTATATCAACTCTTGAAGTAAGAAAGCTATCTAGACATTAATTTACCGTAAAGACCCTAATGTCCTCCCTAATGATAAACGTACAAACCAATCTCTATGTATTATTCAGCGCGAGCCCTAAAAGTAAAGGCTCTTCGACGCTAAGTGCATGACAACCCAGCTGCGTTTGGTAGCACTTGTGTTTAATCCCACAAACGAATCCTGAAAAAAACTGTTTTTCTCTCACGAGTGCACGTAACAGGACCAGCCTGGAAGCTTTCGTCTGTCGGCTCTCGATGGAATCAGACAACTAGAGGCCAAAAAAGGCGGTAAGTGCCCGCTTGGAAACGGGTAGCAGCTTTGATAATACACTGGCTATACACACCGAATAGCATCCCAACCGGGTGCCGAAGAGCGAGCATAATAGATGATTTCCTACCGAGTAGTCGCTGTAGCTGATACTTAAGACCTATGAAAGCCGCCGCGAGAGATACATATAACCTCTGAATGAGAAACGAGGTGGCACTAGATTCGGTGGTGCTTTCAATGGAGGGATAGCGCGTGCTCGTGTCTTCTCTAGGTACAACGCCGTGGGTACTTAGGACTTTCGAGCGAGAAAGTATTCACATCGACAGATGTGGTTTCTGGCACTGCATAACCAAGCGTATCGGGTGCAATTAAAGCTATTATATCCATCAAAAGATCCAAGAGCTGGTGAACCATGTTCAGGGGTTAAGAGGTCTGATTGCCACGACGACAATAAGCCGCCCCTTGGAGTCGGTAACGATAATCATATTAATATTAGGCCTCCTAAAGGATGCTAATCGCGCTGAAACTACTCGCATTAATTCAAGGAGGGGTTGGCGCCGCATTTGATACCGAGTGCAGCTTTCGTACAGGGGTTGGGAGTTGGGGGGTTAGGGGTACTCTGAGCGCGTCAGGTAAGATAAATTCCAGCCCTGCTGAGAAGGAATGCGAAGATCACTTGGCTGCTGAGCACTCACGACGGATTCATCTGCGATGGTACAGAAAATCTGCGCCCCTTCGGTCTCGAAACATATGAAAAATATTAAGCTCCTACGCAACATCGTCTGGTGAACGTCATAAAAAAACGAGCTAAGTAGACAATGGCGGCCGAAGGAAACAGATACAGTTTTGCACTCGCTGAGTTTGTGGACAATATGAACCAGCCAAAATAGAAACAGCTTTTTGTACTAGAGGTGGGGCTCACAGCCTAGAGTTGTTATTTGTTCAACATCCTGGATTTTTGGAACAGTGGAAGTCCTGACTGATCCGGGAGCGTTGTCAAGAAGCGCATGACCGTGGGTGTCGAAATTGATCGACAGTAAGTGGGGTATCAAAATGTGTTCAACACGGTTTAGATATCCATGCGTCTTGCGACAGGAACACTGGTAAAAGTGTCGAAGATTAATTTAAGCCTTCAAAGGGCCTGGGGACTTTCACAGCGTAAGACATGGTCTGGTAATGAGTAAACATTCAAAGTATATCTCATTACAGGCATGGCTGGAATGTCACGATCCGTGTATAGACTGGAAATCAAAACATTTAGTCGACATGCACTTCACCTGACGGAGTTAGACATGTCATGGATAAAAAGCTGCTAGGAAGTCGGAGCGCTTTTATCGCGGGTACAAAGCTGTCATGGCTTTCGTGAACGAACAGAATTGCCCGAAAAAATAGTAGTGGTACTGATATGTGCCTCAAGCAACGCTCACGGGCTGAAGCGGCAAGGAGTCACGATTCAAAATCAAGATTGAAGATAACAATTGTTTTTCGTGGTCTCACGGGTTTGCATCTATCAGTATGTGAAATGACTTTCAAATGATTGCTTTTTGGGAGTGCATTACTAATTCGGCAAATATGACAGCCGTGTGCTATTGTCTCGTTCACATGAGACGGTAGTACGTAAAAGGTAATGTGTGCCGCGATCTGCAATGTTTTAGTCAGCGTTATTGCAGGTCGAGTTTGAGTTGCGATTAGTAGGGACAGGACTTAACATCATTAATGGCTCATACGCGTCGCAACGTGATGATCTTACCGAATTCATACTACTGTGTGGCCAGCTCACCCGTGCAATCAACAGACTTCACCGGTAGATGATGAGAAAGATTATTGGATTGTGAATAAAGTGAGCGATGTAGTCCTACGAACTAAAAGTAACGTATCCTTGTGTCCAAATTGGTACGGTTGATATAGAAGAAAGAACTGAGCTCGTCACTTATCGTGGATGAGCCGGTCACTGAAGATACGCGCGGATACGTGCGGATTATTGAGTTGGGGAATGAGATAGCTATTTTCAAATCGCATATGAAACTCGTTTAGTCTTGACGTAGAGATATCACAAAACTCGTGGTCAGTTCGCTCTTGATTTGAGCAAAGTGACCAGGTGCATAGGCGCGCAAAAGCTTTTTACCATCGCGGGGGCTACTTAAAACGAATAATGCCTTCAACACAGCGTATTGGATTGGGCAAGATTCTAAGTTATTCTTGCCCCTGCAGTAGATCAATATGTATTTTCTGAGCCAAAATATAATCGAGCTGGACACTGTCGGGTGGTCCTCAGTGTAGTGTCGCAACATTTTTCTCCGATTGTAAATGACGCGGAGTGTGATACTCGTATAGCGATAAGGTCGAGCACATATGGTCACCGGAGACGCGTGTCGCTGAGAGGAAGCGACATCTGCTTGTTTTAAATCAATGGATCACGAGATTTTTTTCTAGTAAAAGATCACCTCGGCATCTTTAATGACGGCTCCTTTACACGCGTCGGTCGCGACTTTTTCGTTTTTGAACTTGGCAAGCTATTTGGTACACGAGAGAAACTCTTGATGCAAGAATGCTCTGATGACCAGACTTGGTAAAGTGCTAAGGTTCAGTAGGGTTCCCAGACACAGTAGCTGGTTTGTAGATCAGGCTGCGTCTGAAAAACACACTTTGTGAGTCTTAATATAGTGTAGAGGGATTGACGCGGGATCATAATAATCTTGGGTACTTAACCAATAGTGTAGAGGGATTGACGCGGGATCATAATAATCTTGGGTACTTAACCAATAATTATAGGTGCGGTTCGATTAAGAAATTCACATAGCCCTTTGGTGGAAAAGTAAGCAATAATAAGCTCTAAGTTATTGGTCATGATGACGATGATTCGAAATGAGGAAACCGTGTTGGATATGAGCAGCTTGTCGTATGTCGCAGGCTAAGGCAGCTTAGTATAAATATCAGCTGAACGTCTACATTTTTGCATTTGTCGAAGGAGCCTATGTAATAAATATGCATGCTCTTGCAATAGCTCGTGCCGAAGGTCCTTGAATTCTGTGAGTATCGTGCAAATGATCTTCACTAAAACTTGTGCTAGCTGACCCACCAACCGTACCCAGAACACAGGACAATATCTTGCTAATAGACCAGTGCCGGCGGCGGTCTCCCCTCTCGCTGCTAGCTCTCAAAAATTTTTGGTTGTGGCAACGAGCTGGCTCGCTTAGGAAGTATCGGCGCTTGTTTAGCAATCTTGCTCTCACATTTTTTGTCATAATAGCCAACATGATAGACCCAAAGCGATTTAAAGCCGCGTCGCTGCTTTGGCGTAGGAAATAACTCAAGCTCGTTTAATTTGGCTGGAATATACAAGCAGGGTAGTGGTATGGATCCTGGAAGATTCATACACACATAAAATGTTTGTACACTCTTTAAGGAGATCATAGTACAGCTCCATCGGTTCCAAGATAATACAATGATTGGATCGATGTATCGCGGTCGCAGCTTAATCATATATACGGCAAAATGTGAATGTTTGGGCTGTTGGGTTGAGTTCACTCGACTGTAAAACATTTTGAGCCGCAATGTATTCTCGTTAGCCTCGCGAACCTCTAAATCAGCGTTTTGCTTTTTTTATGGCTTTCAGCTTTAGCGTCGTCGTACGTCTAGGTTCAGAACGACAACGATCACGCTGTCAAAGTTATTAAACTTCAGTCCAAGGTTTGGCAGAGCATTCAGTGCCTTAACCAGTGCCTCTGCCTCCACCGCCTAAAGAAGGGTACATGAATCCGTATTTGGTATCGTTAATATCTTGTGAACTGTGTCAATATGGTTCAGTTTGTTTACTGCCGGTCACTCTACGCTTACTGGGACTCAAGTTTCTTCGAAAAGTATTCGTCAACCGAATCTGCGTCGAAGTTCAAATATTTGCACAATTTAATGGTGAGAGAAGGATTACGAGTGACTTACTGTCTTGCACTCTCACTGTTATTTCGGCTTCGGGCACTGAGCTCTTGCTTCATTATTGGCTTCCTCTATCCTAGAATAGTTCTGACTCTAATTTGCTTGCAAATGAACTGACGCTTGTTAAACCGCTAAAAAAATCCCGCGGT